TGCACCCCAGTCAGTTCCTGAGCTGAGCTGTTTGAAGCCAGTTGTTACATCCCTGTCCTGCTCTGGAGACACATAATCATTATCAGCCAGTGTAGAACCATCTAAAGTTAATATGTTGATTTCTGCTGACTGAGGGCCTGAACCAAAATTCACAGAATTACAGGATAGTTGAGTTTAGAAGGGACCTCCGGAGGGCATCTTGTATCAAATTTAGATAGATCTTTTGATACAGTAATACATAGTTTTCTTTGCCCTAGCAAGAGACCAGAAAGAACAGACAATTCAGGGGTATGTCAGGCATCCTGGACCACAACTGAACAAAATGCAGAAGATAAGTTCCTTCCTACTTGGTTGTTGCATTTTATTTGTTTAATGCTCTAGATAAGCCTGAAGCTTTATAGGTTTTCCAAAATAAAGATGATAATGATGAAACAGCTTAATGTAACAGACAAATTCTACATGTGAAAAGAATAATCAAATCTTATGTGGATCAACTCAAAAATGAAGAGATAGAATATACAAGCAAAAATAAAAGAAGCTCAAGCAGCTCACTTTTCCTTCAAAAGGGATACAAGGATTTTGTACCACATTATATTCCTGGTACTTTTTTATTCTTATTTTCACCACTTCATTATTGTTCGCTGTGAATCCATTATTATTTGTACGCTGTATCAGCAAAGCTTCTGATGAGAAAACGGTGATGTTTTCTTACAGCTACTGGAATCAGTGTAGATTTTTGAATTTAAAAATGTCATTCTCCTCCAGCTGATTGGCAGGTAGATTTAAGGATTTGGTCTGAATCAACCACTAGTTTCCACCTGTGGTAGCCACACGAATCCTGGCAGAGCACTGAATCCAGCTGCGGCCTGGGAAACCTTGACTAGCCAGCACTTACCTTTGCCTTAGGGTTCACTGAATCCACATTTCTAGGAAATATTTTTACAGACATCTTAATTATTTGAATTATGTACCAGGTAATGTTTTTCTTCACATTGTTCCATCTTAACATTCTGCTCCTACGTTTTTAAAAGTACACTTTAATGATTCTCAAGTACTAATTGAAAAACTAATTTTCAATGCAGAAATTAAAAACAATCTGAAAACAGATTATGTATCATTATCCCATGTGGAAGAATGCAACTAACATAATAATCCTACCTCACTTGCAACACAGTAATGAAGTAAAAAATGGTCTTAGTGCTCTTAAAAGGACAATTCTATTCAAGACACAGCTTAACACAGTTGTGAGAAAAAGGTATCATTTACTCCAGCACGGCTCTTCCTAAATGCTGGCTGAGGTTTCCATGGTTAACCTAAATTAAAATTAATTCCATATTTTTTTGGCAGAAGGTATATAAAGTAATTTTCATATTTTCTTCTTCAACTATAATTAAAAACATGGGAAAAAGGCTTCATGTGCCTCAAGTATGAAGGTATATTACAACAGACATTTTTTTGTTTTGAATGTCTCTAACGCTTACATTAATTGAGACCAAATTAAATGGGAAAGCAGAGTGTCATTATTACCTTCTTGTGATTATACAGTTAACAATATCTATACCCTGTGCCTACAAGGCAGTAACAGCCTGTGTGCTAGACTTGGTTGCTTGTTCTAAAGGGAAGTTAACCTTAATGCAGATTTGATCTGCAGTCACCATACACTTCTTTTTCAGGAATTACTAACCAGTAATTCAGAAACAAGAGAGGATGGTGGGGGAATATAAAAAACTTCTTACAGCAATGTTCAAAAGATAACCATAGTAAAGATATGAAATATATATTATCAAAGGGAAACATAAAATGAAGAGTAGTTTTGCTTGTGTTCACATGCAGGATCTACTTTGTCTATATAATGAGTGAGCAGACAGGTTCAATGTGTGAGAAGTGCACAAATGGTCTAGGTCTTTCAGGATGCAGAGACAGGACCAAGATGCTTCCAAAAGAATCATCCCAGCAGATTAAAACCACTCTCATTCCATGGAGGCCTTCTGATGACTTCCCAGAAGGAAGCCCACAAGAGCACAATCCCAGATTAAGGTCATCCTGCTAACGAACACTCAAAAGCATGACATTACATTACAGACAGCTTTAATAAAAGAATTCACTGAATCATCATCTTACTGGCTTCTACCAATATATCCATTGTTTTCAGCCCTTCACAAGTTTGATTTCCCATTGTCTCTTAATCAAATATATATCTATTTTACAGTTAACTGAAAAAGTGGCAAAATAAACATGGTATAAACATGGTATATAAACTTTTTCTACGCTTAGCTTTTAGAATTAGTCCTGCACATCCTGAAACTCAGTGACAATTTGTTAACATACAGTTGCTACAACTGCTACAGAGAGAATAATCTCACTTTGAGGCATTCTGGGTTAGATAACTCACATTTCACTCTGTTGGATGAAGTACAAACCTTGATTTTGGAAACGCACATGGGGAGGTTGGAAAAGAAAAGCACAAGTGTGTGTTCCTGAGACCTGTTCAAACCCAATGGTCTCATATGTATTCCCATCCTCCAAGCCTAAAAGGCTGATGCTTTTCAGCTAAAAAATATGGGTTGAAATAATAAGCATGTGCCATGTCTGGACTGGAATATATTAGCCTAGTTTTGTGAACAGCACTGACTCAAAAGTCAGTTCTATAACCACTCTTCACTGGGGAAGGAATGTGTAAAATAAAGCAGGGCGGTCTTTTTTGCATTTTGAATTCTCCACTAGCAAAAAGAAACCTTCACTCAAAGTAGATGAGCTTGCTTTGACTTATTTTAAAATATACAAACAGAAGCAACCCTATTAAAAGTCTTAAAATGACATTTATTCAGTCAATGTGATAAGACAGAATTCTATTACTTGGAAAGTAAGCTTTTCTCACTCTCACCTTTCAGTCATTATTTGCATACAACCCAAATCACATCCGAATAAATTCCACTGGCCTTCCTTACATACCATCCGGCATTATTTATATTCATGTAGGATTACTAGTGTACAGGATAATCAAATACTTTCCCAAGAGAGCTGATGCAAATTAAAGTGGAGACAGCTTCCAGTGTGAAACCTCCAGAGAAAAGATCACCAGGTCAGATGTGGAAAGACCCAGAAACAGAAGGTTGCTATATTCAATAAGGGAAAAGCAATGGCTTGGAAGAGGGAAGAACAAAGTGGAAAGTGAGAAATTATCAAAGATTGTGGCAATGTGAGAAGACCACAGAAGAAGCAGATGAGAGCATATACAAGGAAGGAAGTTAATTTGATTTAGACTCATGGGCATTAAGCAAGGCAGAAATAGCAACCCTGCACAGGCAGGAAACTGCTAATTTTGCTGAAGGGAGGGCTAAGAGTTAAATTTTCTCATCTATCATAGGTTTTCTGGTTAGTGGCAGGGATGTCACTCTGTCTATGTCTCAGTTCCTCATCAATAAAGCAGGATGCTGTACAGAAAAGCCACAAATGATTTAGGGGACAGTCAAGTGATAAGGGCAAGATGTGAACCTGCAGAGACAGCTCTACCTAACAGATCCCTAATGAAGAACAAGAAAAGGAGAGAGAAGGAGAAAGTGACTATAGTGACATAATCTACCTGAATTTTAGAGATGAACACAGATGTTACAGACAGACCATGACATGGATATACAACCACGTGAAAGAGAGAGAAACCTCTGAATGCAAAAGGCCTGGAAAGGAAGACAGATTTCACCAGCTGAGAAGTGTGACTATATATATATATATATATATATATATATATATTTGGATATATAAAGATATATCCAAATGACCAAGCTAACTGAAGTTAAGCACACAAGAACAAATCTCTGAGGATCCCCTCAAAGGAAACTTTCTAATTTCAGGGAAGTGCTGCTTGATCACCAGCTACTGCTACGTGTAGTGGGTAAAAATATAAAGAAGAAGAATATGGGAAAGTTATAGACAGGAAGAAATAGGGTTTCTGCTTGGGGTGGAAGAACGGAAGGGATGGAAAATTTCTTCAAGTACAGACAAAATGGGGGAAACCCCCTTGTCACATATAACAGCTTCAGCCTAAGAAGTCTAAAAATAGATTCTTCCTTTCAAGTATGGGCAGAATGGGAGGCAGCTGGTACCAGTAGTTAGTAAGTAAGATACAGACAGTGACAAGATGAAACTCATGTACCAAAAGAAACAAGCAAAGGAGACAAGCAGTCTGCAAACAGACTGACTGGGTGCAGAGAGGATCAGAGGGACAGAAGAGACAGACACCTGATCAGAGAAAAAATGTTTCCCAAGGGCACAAACAACCCCCCTGAATACATGTGAGTTTGTTTGAGCAGGTTTGAGCATACAGAGGGCCCAGAGGGAATCAGAATGGTTGGGACCGAGGCAGCACGCAGTGACGATATTTCCTTGTAAAATGCTGAGCAACTGATGGAACTCTGGCCATTCAACCGCATTATTTGTTCTAACCACCTTCTGAAAATGAGCCTTCCAAGGTGGGTGTAACCAAGAGCACATGTATAAATTCTTTCTATCTCCAACTTCCTTCTTTGCTATTCATTATTTTCGGGCGTGACTAATATACAATAGCTGTGGGAGGCATGTCCTTGTCCCAGGCAAACCGCTCCTGCCCTGTGCAGCCTAAAAGCACAAAACAGACCATGTGTGGAAGAAAGCAAATAATACCATCTCCATGTTACAGATTGAGAACCGAGGAAGAGAGCTGGTAAGTGATTTTCCTGAGATTTCACAGGAAGTCAGTGGCAAAACTGGATATTGAAACCCCCTCTTCAACATCCGTCTGGTGCTTCAGTCACAAGGACAACGTGTCCCTTCTAAGGACATTGCCTTTCATCCTCAGAGAGTTCTGGTAACAAGAGTCTTTGACTGAATGTATATATTGAATGTATATAGCTTAAGGTCTTATTGAACCATGGTATAATTTTGCCTCTCTATTTCCAGCTTCTGAGCTCAAACCAGCAGTGCTACCAACTCCATCCACAAAGCCAACTTTTATATGTACTTACAATTCTGTTGGTGAAGTTACTAAAATCTGTCACTAAGATTTGCTTGATCATCTCTGGTGAGGAGACCACCACAAACATCTGGCGACCAATATAATACCTAGAAAGAAATAAAGAATCATTTTAGCAGATGATGACCACCGAGAACTATCTCCTTCCCTAAAATATCTCTTTTTGCTTGAATATACTTGCAGTGAACCAATATCACAGAAAATTTATTCCCTTAGGTAAAGCAGTATCTTTCCCCAGCCCTCCCAACTGTTAAATTAAGATGCATGGTCCTGGAATTTAAAGTAAACAGTTTAAAATCTTCTACTGATTAATCAATATGTAGCCAACATTTTAACATAAAGGTTTACACACTCTGTGCTCACTCTGAACTCTGTGCAAGTGATGTAGTATCACTATCTGAACTACAGCAGAATAAAACATTAGAAACCAACTGAAATAATCATGAAAGACCTACAAAATTGTATTTCCTGCCATCAGCCACATGAAATGTTGTTTCATGGCTAAGCCCAGCCTCTAATGAGTCTTTCAAGAAGTCCCCTCAGCATGACTGCAGTAAAGCACACTTCCACCCCTTCTATTAGCACTGGAACTGAGTGCATCTCAGGCTCTGCATTGCCATGGACAAACTTACATTACACTAATAGGGAGGGGAAAAAAAGTTTTACCAAGTATAAGGGAATTAGTAAAACTTCAGAAGAAGAATAGGTGATAGGGGTGTCTCTGCCTGTACACATTTTATCTACCTGTTCCCATTTTAAAATGACCTTGTGGAGCCAGAGTCTGCCCTTCTGGTGCTTAACACCATTGTGGATGCTGTAGAGGGACTGGGACCCGTCCCAAGCCTACAACTTCTACAGGTGCAGAGCTCCCTTCTCCAGCACCATTTCCTGCAAGGCCTGCAGGAACTCGATGGTTGGCTGCTCTGCTGGGGGAGGAAGAACCACAACCAGCAAGCAGAGGCTGCTTGCAGTCCCTACCTTTGTTGATCGCTGGACCAAAAAGTCCAGCTGTCTTTTCTCCACCAGGAGAGAGGAAGAGGTTGGAAGGAGGCACAGGAGGGCCAGCAGCTCACAGCAGAAGACAAGAGCAATACCACAGATGCTGCAATACCACAGTAATATCCATGCCTAATCATTTTGGTGCTATAGCTCCGTATCGATATATTGCTTATCACCTGTCAACACTGCAGCAACCAAATAGACAAGCAAACCCTAGGCTGGATTAAATATAGTAACTAGGGGTTCCCATGGCAATGAAGCTGCAGCAGCCTGATTTCTTCAAGAGCAAACAAATCAGACAATTATCTTGATTCCAAAGTAAGATTTCACAGTCCAGTTTGATCTCCCTACCACCAAAACTTGTAACAAACAAATGGCAGAGAAGAACAAGAACACAATGTTCTTTGAGAAGGAAGACATCATCTTTTCTTCTCTCGTGGGTTTCCACAGAAAACTTTTATTTCCCAACTGTAACCCACAGGCTCTACTGAAACATTAGATATGGCTGGTATGGTCTATCAAGGTAAACCTTTTTCACCCCTCTCAGTTTGCTCAATCACAGCAAAAGTAGCTGTCTGTAATGGTCAAACTTTTATTCAGAATCCTCATAGGTGCATAAAAAAGAGCTGATGCCTCAGATTAAAGAGGGCTTTGATCACAGGCTTCAGCAGAACTTCAGCACAGAACTTTTGCATGTACTTTGTACAGTTTTCTGTCATCAGAGAGGCAACACAAGCTCTCAAGGCAAAGATGTGTTGCCCTGAACCTACTCAGAATGACCGGCCATGAATACTGACCCCTCATGCTCATACCTCGCTTTTCTTCCCTCCAAGTTTAGCAAATTCCCTGTCACATTTATTGGTTGTCACTGATGGTCCTGCAACAAACAGCTTTTCACAGGGACCAACTTCCTGACACCAAATCTCAGTCAGAAGCTGGTTATGTCTACTCAGACAGTTTAACTCTGAGCAGTAAGGGGCACCACACAATACATCAGGCAAAGCATGTGTGTGTAAGGGAGACACATTTCTAGTTTATTTCAAACCTGGGAAATTGCAAAGCTCCAGCTCCCATCCACTGGGATAACAGGATGATACCCACAGCAGGAGTCTTTAAGTCACAGTGCATTTTGTGCTTGAAAGCATTCAGGACTAAAAACTTGGGACAGGAGCATCTCCTACTCAAGCTGCTTTTATGAGAAAGTGACTCAGAAGCCAAGCTTATGCAAACAAATCTATTCATCATCCTCCAACTCAGACCCGTCACCTGAACTCCCAGCTCTGTTTCCACAGCTAAGCTCTTTCTTTTTCATTGACTCTTCTCTAACTTTCTACCTATAGGCACCTGCTTCTTTCTTTATGCAGTTATAAATTAGGGCAGAGAAGGGGAAGAAGGGGAAAAAAATCCCCTACAACTAATAAATTGAAGACGCTGGAGGAAAAAGAAAAACAACAAACTACTGAAATTGATTTTTAAGCAAAGTTCTGCCATTTTCCAAGGCATGACTGTTATAAAGACACACACATTTTTGGATCCCAAACAGTAAAATCTCTCCTTCTGCCTTTTTTCCATTCTCCTACTTTCTGTGTACAATCTTTCTAACCTTTTCTAGGACATAAAAAGATGAAGCTGTGTATGGACATACTTTGGAAGTTAAAATCCATAAGCCAGAAGCATGACTTCCATGGTCTTTCCCTGAAGTTAAGGAAAAAGGATAAGTAGAACTAAGCACAAAACAAGATCACCTAAGCTATTTCATTCAGCAAACACGTGTTTGGAACCTGAAAAGTTGCCAGAAAGATGCTTAACTGAGTTTTAATATATTTTAAATCCTTTGAAGAATCAAGGCCTCAGTCACAAAACAAGAGGCTATCTCACAACTAGGTGTTTTGGGGTTTTTTCACTTGTTTTGAAATAGCAAGTAAAAGATAAAATCCTCCTGAACAATAATCTATTCTTCCCAAGTAAATAACATATTCACCCCTGCCATGTAACTTCATTTTGATTCTGTATTACTGGATGAGGATATCACTAGTCTCATGTAGACTTAGATTTATTATTGAACAAAACCTGATATTCTTGTCAGATTTTAATAAATAAGAGTTTGAGAAAAACAAAAGCCTCTGGGCAAGCACATTGCAAATGGATTCATGAATAATTTAGGGCTGCACTTTTTATTAACTTTTCCTTGGTTAATCTTTCCACAGGGCTCATTCACACACAGAAGCCCTACCTTTAGCTACTGTACCCTTACACTGCTTGACCCAACACTTTATAATATTTTCATCTAGGGCTTCCAGGGTATAAAGAAAATACTTGGGAATACCTAGCCTGCTCCTGCAGAGAAGGAAGAATTCATGCATGTAGCATGACACCCTTGGGGCAATGCACCTCTCTCCACATGGAGATCAGTTGTAACACTGCAACATCAGCAAAAATAAATTTCATGACCCACACATGGAGACACATTTTCCTGTGTAGATGAGGCAATGGTTAATCAAGTTCTGCTGTTGGGGAAATTTCTATTATATTTCAGTTTAAACTGCAGCCCTCCAGAACAGTGAAAGAAATTCCCATCTTGGACCAGTAGCTTTAGCTCCATTGGATGGAGAGATAGGAAAGGCCTGGTACCAGTACATCAACAGCACAAGTACGGTGTGAGCTTCCTCCAGCAGATGGAAATGTGGATGAGAAGCCACTGTCCCAGCAGGCTGCTGGTGCACAAGCCAGCTGGCTTGTGCCACATCATCCCCAGGATGGCCAGGCAAAAGGGCTTGCACAAGCATTCAGAAGCGGGCATATTCCCAGAAGCTGTGAAAACAGCAAAGATTGCCAAAGGGCTTGCAGGTCAAGGAGGTGGTTCTGTCACAGGGTATTGAACCTAAAAACAAGCCAAACTTCCTTAAAAGTGTTTCAATAACTGGAGAGGCTACAAACACCCACCACACCCAGCTTCAGCAGCTTTGTTCCTAAGAGCAGACAAGGACCCCTCTTAAGGCAATTAATGGGAAAGACAGAGATTCTTGTGCTCAGGGTTCACCCAGGATGTTGCAGTCCTCTTTACCATGACTTAGTCATTCACTAAGCACATCTTTTCTTTTATCCGCAAGAATAAACGGCAATCCAGCAATGATATCTGCAGGCTTGCTCATGCACCACCGTCACTTTCTGCAGAGATGTGGCCTAGGTGTCTCAACCCCACATCCAGTGCCTGGCAAGTAGGAGTGGTGAGACAAAAGGCACATTGGATTGCAGTCTCTCCTGAAACACTTCAGCCCATCATCTTCCTTCCCGATGTTTGAGAGGGATCCCTCCAGAATGCAGATTTCTGTTATCAGACGACAAAGAGGATTAATCAGCTACTTTTAATTTGAAAAAACCATTTAGCATTAGCCTTTCCATGCTCCCAAGATCATCCTGGCCACTCTGCATGGACATTACTGCCAACAGCATCTCCCAGCTCCTGAGCCATGGCCGTGCTCTCTGAACAAAGCTCAAAGCAACATTGCTTTGTTACACAGGAAAAGGTGGAGAGCACATACAGTACCTTATGGCAAAGGGCCATATGTTTTTGTGTAACATCCATGTGGGAAACACCTGCAACCCTTTCACCTTGTTTACAGTGCTGCTGTCAATTCACAGAAGACTTTGATCTTCCTATCTATTATCAGCCCCATGTATTACAACCACATAAATCATAAAATATATATATGCTGTTAGGCAATAAGCAAGGCCTTGTTTTCTATGCTGTGGTCTGGTTAAGTACACAAGATCATCTGTAGAGCCATATGAAAATAGAATATTTTATTATCGTTATTTTCTTCAGGGAAGAGCAAAGAACAAATTTTTTAAAAAGGCAGGAGGGAGAAGGAGAGATGTAAAAAGACACAGAGATATGGTGGGAAAAGGCTGATTTTAGGCGACTCTCCCTTAAAAGAAGTTCCTCAATCACTCTGCCTCTTGTTTAGAGACACCCTTTCATTGCAGGCAGAGAAAGGTAAAAACTAATAGCACTATGCTTGTTTAAACTAGGCCTGCAGCCCAGCCTTACTTAATTATTTCAGAGGTCAGAAAATTGATTTGTCATAGC